ACAAGTTCCTTAGATTATCTACTCGATCTTATACAAGTTCCTTTGATAATTCCCTGGATTCTGTACAAGTCATTAGATTATATACTTGAGTGTGTACAAGTTCCCTAGATTATCTACTAGATTCTGTACAAGTTCCCTAGATTATCTACTAGATTCTGTACAAGTTCCCTAGATTATCTACTAGCTTCTGTACAAGTTCCCTAGATTATCTACTAGATTCTGTACAAGTTCCTTATATTATCCCCTGGATTCTGTACAAGTTCCCTAGATTACTCCCTGGATTCTGTACAAGTCCCTTAGATTATATACTTGAGTCTGTACAAGTTCCCTAGATTATCTACTAGATCATTACAAGTTGCTTAGATTATCTACTAGATTCGGTACAAGTTCCCTAGATTATCTACTAGCTTCTGTACAAGTTCCCTAGATTGTGTACAAGTCCCTAGATTGTGTATCAAGTCCGCACTAACTTGAGGCTCGGCTTCCTGTAGAGACACGACAGCAGTGCCACCCTGGCCCGTATCACGTGAGCATGTCTGGAATCACGTGGCTATGTCAGGTATGATCAGAGCGTGAGTGCATCCCTGCTCAGGGTAAGGGTGGGGAGGGGCTCGTGACCGACACGGAAGTTATTGCACCTCGTCTGTTGTACTTCTGCTAGCCAATGTCTTCCGGTATGGAATCCCGCTCACTGGTGAGACAACATGACTTAGTTCTCTGTGAGCTTTCTTATAAAAGGATGGGAAACACTTGAAGTTTTTGAAACAGACGGAAATATTTCTTTTGAAAAAAATTCAAATAATGAGAAATAATATAAACTTCAGAAAAAAAAACATTTATTTTAAAACTTATAATAATTTCATTCGTGTCCAACCTTGTAGTTTAAAAGCAATTATATAAAAAAAAATTTAAAAGGAAATACTTTGACGGTTTCTACAGTTGAAAAACTTTATTCTGTAGTTACACAACAACAACTGTTTGCCAACCGTTAAAGCTTTAATTAGTTTCCGCCGCCACCTACTTTCATCTTCGTTTTAAAGCGTGTCTATTTTTAGCTCTTACTTTCTATTTGTTGCCCGAGTCAGCTGACGTTCACTCCCTCCCCCTCCCCCTGCCCCTCTCGCCTGTCTCTGATTGCCATCTGAAGACTGACATTTGCTATAAATTTCTTTGGGGCCACAGGTGGGACACATGTTGTCTCTGTTGTCGGCTCCCACGTCTTTAGCCCGGGACCTTAGGGGCATAGATGGCCCGTCTGATAGCATAGATGGCCCGTCTGATAGCATAGATGGCCCGTCTGATAGATGGCCCGTCTGATAGCATAGATGGCCCGTCTGATAGCATAGATGGCCCGTCTGATAGATGGCCCGTCTGATAGATGGCCCGTCTGATAACATAGATGGCCCGACTGATAACATAGATGGCCCGACTGTTAGCATAGATGGCCCGTCTGATAGATGGCTTGTCTGGTAGCATAGATGGCCCGACTGATAACATAGATGGCCCGTCTGATAACATAGATGGCCCGTCTGATAGCATAGATGGCCCGACTGATAGCAAAGATGGCCCGTTTGATAGCATAGAAGGCCCGACTGATAGCATAGATGGCCCGTCTGATAGATGGCCCGTCTGATAGCATAGATGGCCCGACTGATAACATAGATGGCCCGATTGATAACATAGATGGCCCGTTTGATAGCATAGAAGGCCCGACTGATAGCATAGATGGCCCGTCTGATAGATGGCCCGTCTGATAGATGGCCCGTCTGATAGCATAGATGGCCCGACTGATAACATAGATGGCCCGACTGATAACATAGATGGCCCGTCTGATAGCATAGATGGCCCGACTGTTAGCATAGATGGCCCGACTGATAACATAGATGGCCCGTCTGATAGATGGCCCGTCTGATAGCATAGATGGCCCGTCTGATAGTATAGATGGCCCGTCTGATAGTATAGATGGCCCGTCTGATAGATGGCCCGACTGATAGCATAGATGGCCCGGGACATGAGGGGCAAAGATGGCCCGTCTGATAACATAGATGGCCCGTCTGATAGCATAGATGGCCCGACTGATAGTATAGATGGCCCGTCTGATAGTATAGATGGCCCGTCTGATAGATGGCCCGACTGATAACATAGATGGCCCGACTGATAACATAGATGGCCCGACTGATAGCATAGATGGCCCGACTGATAGCATAGATGGCCCGGGACATGAGGGGCAAAGATGGCCCGTCTGATAGCATAGATGGCCCATTTGATAGTAAGTTATCGGTTGAATTTGATGCTCAGATAAATAATCAACTTCCGGAGAGGTTTGATGTTCAAGTTTAAGGCCCTCTATCGAATAGATTTAACGCGGCTTGTAATGGGACATTGGTCAGATTGTTGGAAAAAAAACGGGTGGTCGAGCTGATAGCCCATAGTCGGAAAAATTGAAATCGCAAATAAATGGCGTATTGCCACCCAAACTTGATGGCAAATTGGATGAAAGTCAGCTGAAACTTTGATTAACTCAACAGCTTTTCACAAGATTATGGTTTTCTCAACTGAAAATATCTTCATTTATTGATTTCAATTTTTTATTTTAAATTTAATTTGAAACGATTCTTAGATTAACAACTTCTGATTGATAGAATATTTTGAAAGTAGTGAATGCTTAGACAATATGTCCTCTTTAATTATTTATTTATTTTGAGTTTTCGACTCACTTTTTTTTAGGGTATTCCATCTCATAAATTACGTTCGTAGATCTTCTTGATAAAATTAAAGTAAGAAAAGAGCACATACTCATGTATTTTATGTTTATAGTATATAGTTTCACGTGCGATACGTCCCCCGCACCTTGTATTGTTAATCAGAATAGGTTGTTTACCTGCGCAAAAACACAGGTAAGTTCATAAAATCTACTCACTCTTGGAGTCGTTTGCAGGTGATTAGCCCTGTACCGCTGGCGCTGCAGGCTGACTCTCACCTGAAAGGTGACTCCTCTAAGGTGCCCACCTACCTGAGATAAGACGCCGGGCGTGTCCGCGTCTACATCAGACAACAGAGGCCGTGGCCAATCATATCTGATAACCCGAGCACGTGACCGGGAATGTAGTCAATTAGTTTTTGACACGGGATGTGACACAATGCTTCTGACATTCACTGTTTCAAGATCTTTTTTTTTTCTCATTATGAATACTAGTAGCATTAATTATTAATTTATATAGGCCTATGCTAAGTTGTACTCATTAATTACATTTATACTTTCTTCCTTCAATTTGTGACCGTCGGACGCCATAAAGGCCATATCTCCACCCTCACGTTTCAGCGTCCAACGTTATAACAGAGTATTTGGGGATAGTGTCCGACAATGCATTCTCCTAAAAACAAATAGGTCTGTTAGGTTGTTAGTAATACTTTGATATCAGGTGTAGCGTTAGGGTAGGACATTTTGTTGCGTTAGAGCTGTGGTAGGAATTGGGTTAGGTTTTGGGTTGGGGACGAGTTACGGGTGTAGTTAATGAGTTATATTTGCATTTACTTTACTACAAGTAGCCAAACACTCGCTTTTCAAGATGATTCTTTTATTATCCCATTATCGGACCCTTGTATAGCACAACCCCCCCCCCCCCCACTCCCCCTTTTTTAATGTCAATCCACATCTGTTACTGCCTACTTTTCCAATCAAATCTTCTACCGCAATTTCGATCCCTATATGTTCACAAAAATGCATAGACTCCGATGACAATATAAAAAAATATTAAAGATCACTGCTTTATATGTAAAGAGAGGTGTTTTTTTAGCGCAATTTCCATTCTGGAGAATTGCGTTTATTAACCCGTCATTTCTGGATGGATGAATGGATGGATGGATGGATGAATGAATGTATGAATGTGTGTCCGCAGCTTTAAGTCGTATCTCCTCCTCAACGAAGCAATATCGAGGACTAGTTCCAAAAGCAAATATGTTAAGCAAGTTACGAGGATGAGCATAGGCCATAAAAATTCCGGGTTTCTTTCATGGATTTCCCGGAAAAGCCAAAAAACCTCTGAAAAAAGCAGTTTTTGGCCCATATCTCGGCAACCAGACCACTTAGCGACTTGAAACATGTACCAATCGATTCCTGCCATAATTTAGAACAATATTGCCTAAGAAAGTTTTCAAAAATATCCTTTCGTTCGGTCACAAAAAAATTTTTGAATTAATTAAAATTTTGACCGAATTAGTAGGCATTTTTTCCAACCACACCACACGCGTCATCACGTTCAATAGCTGCGCCATCGCGTTCCATGGCTGCGCCATCATGTTCAGTAGGCGCGCAATGGTTTTTAGTCATGTAACTCTATTGTAAATAAAACATGTAAAATACTGAAAAAAAATTAATAAAAAACGTTTTAATAACTAACCAATGGTTTTACTAACCCTGCTCTTGATTTACGCTACGACAGAGCTATTTTTAGATAACATTAGGAAATTGCGCTAAAATTGTCACTAGACTTTTTAATTACCTTGTTTTTAGTTTTAAAAGCTAATTTCGTGTTCCGGTAATAAATGTATTAGCAGTGCCAAAATATTCTTGAATTTATCTGTTACTAGTCTGTTATATTCTGCTCAATTTCGTATTTTCTATCGTAAATTAACTAATCAAGTTTACAGCTTACACATTTAAACAAACAAAAGAAAATTTCTCTTAAAGAAACTAGTAAGAAACAACTCCAGCGTTTAAATACCTCGCCCAGTGGTTCCGTATGCCATAGATAACTCTCCTGCCCGTACGTCAACGCCTCCGCCGAGCCGACCGGTTCCGCCGAGCCAACTGGTTTCTGCTGATATCGGCGACGGAGCCATTAACCGCGCAATAAATATTTAGCAGATCAGCCACAGGTGTGGGCGCGTGCCTCCAAGACGTCGGCCTCTCCACGCGCCCCATCGTTTTGTTTTGTTTGTTGTTTCCTCGCGACCTCTTCCACATTTTTATGTCGCTCCTGTGTTGGATTACTGCTTATGTTAAGTAGGTGCTCCCGGCTCTACGACAAATTTATGTTTCCTAATGCTAAGTGCTTAGATGTCAAGTCTATGATATACCGTGTGAGTACTTAATTTATGGATGTGCTATTTTGTTTCAAAGTACAGCTTAACTTGTAATTACAATATTTACTTGCCATGAACTATATATATATATATATATATATATATATATATATATATATATATATATATATATATATATATATATATATGAGGCGGATCAACGCGGAGGCTGATTTGGCAGTAGCAAGGCCCCCAATTTTTAACCTTCCTCCCCTCAACTTGACTTCGTACTGTAAAGTGAAATACCGTTTTCTACTGTCTGGATCATTTTGAAACACAATATGGGACATGGTTGCCCATCCATATATCATATAACGTTATAATATCACTGTTCAACAGACCATAACATAAAATCAGGTAACGTTCCTAAGCAGCATAAACCCATCTCCCCCCCCCCCCTCACCATAAACCACAACACGACATGCTAGTAAAGCTTCCTAATGTTTTAAATTAAATGTTGGACCCACATTGTACAGAAAAGAGCTTGTTAGAAACAGTTGCAGGACCCTATAATGTGTTGAGGTAAAGCATACTGTAGCCAGTTGTGTCGAATAAATACGAGCTATGAACAAAGTGTTACAGTAAAAAATATCTGCAGGGTAATATAGGGAACCTCAACACTGAAACCTATTCGGGGGCCTCATCGTGAGGAGCCATGATGTCGCTTATAAATATTTTTTTCGAGCTAATGTATTTTTAAAATACAGTCACATATAACATTACTGAGTTGAAAACAATTGGTTGGTAAAAATGGTATACGTGTCTACTAGCTACCTAAAAACAAATTGTGGAAGAATGTGTGCATTGATGCGTGTATAATCAATAATGAAGTTGTGAATATTGCGTGATCTACCACTCTAGATATAGACATCTAAAAATGTTCTTCAGCCTCAGTGAGCTTATTAGCTTTCGGATGAGTAGGTTTTATAAGTTATTTATTACAGCATTTACGGTATTCTCTAAACAAGTAGGTTTTAGACATGTCATTTATTAGAATATGCTCGGTATTCTTTAAACAAGTAGGTTGTAGACAAGTTATTTATTCCAGCATGTACGGTGTTCTCTAATAAAAATAAAAGTATTATTTCTTTTTTTTTTTTTTTTTTTTTTTTTTTTTTTTAGTCCCCCTTTATTTAAGGGTTGATTTCTCATGACACGTTTTATTATAGTTAATTTAATTTTTAATGAACATGCGATACCACTGTTGTTAATTTGTTTGTTTTTTAAATATATCTTCGCTCAAAACCTGCGAAATAAGGTGTTATTTTGTACGAATATAATTTTTTATTTAAGGGTGGGGAAAAAAGTTTAATTGCTAAAAACGAGCTTTATGCGTGGTTTTGGTAAACAGCTAAAGTAGCGAGACTTACAGTGATGATTTAGGCCAGATAAAAGGTTTGCACAAGAACCGTAAACCAGTGTTTGTTACTTCACCAAATAAACTGGCCTCTGGTGATTTGTTTCCCTTGATGAAATAGAGTAGCCGCCCATGTGGTTTGTCTATTGACATTGTACACAGACTACCGCTACCGCCCTCACCGTGCAAGTACATGGGATTGTCAAGGAAATAGACGCGGCTTAAATTTGATTTGCACATCTTTTTTACCGATCTATCCAAATGATTAGCTAGACCTAATGCTATCTAATAATATTGGTGAAAACGAAAAATAAGTATACATTATATATATATATATATATATATATATATATATATATATATATATATATATATATATATATATATTATATATATAATGATATAAAATTGTCAAGTTCGATTGATCAAGCAACAGTATAAATAAATGATCAACTAGTTTTATAACGAACAAGCTAATTTACTTTTGTGTTCATTATAAAAGTCACCATCGCTTTTAATGCTATTTTTAGAGGAAGGGTTAGATATTTCCTGATCAGAATTTGTGGTCAAGGCTAACCACTGCATGCATACATTGGCAAAGCACTTACCGTCTGCTTATCGTCTGCTCTCACCCATTGCTTATTCAACACCCGATTGTTGGGATTGTTCCTGGTAAATTGTTTATAACAAGGGAGGTAATACAAAGGCCCGTGACATGAATACAGGGAGATAATTAGTGCCTGCGTTTAGTGTTGATATTAATATTTACGCCCCGCTTGGGTTTTTTTTTTTTTAATCTGATGTGAAATGCCGAGTTTTGGCGCCGTCTGGGCACGAAATAGCGTGGAGATTTAAGATAAGAGAGGCAATCTCTCATATATTGGGATAATCGGACGTTTTCATTCTCACCAGCCCCCAACATAATGGTAGACGATAGATATGTAATGTGAATGTTGAATCAACCGAAAGAGTTAATTAGTAAATTAGCCTGAATGACTAATGACTTCATTGTTTATGAGACAAGGACGTTTTATTATAACAGTAGTGCTGGGGCCGACATAAAAAACTTTGAAGTCTGCTACACGTTAGCCGCCCGCGAATTTCTATTAACATTCTAAACCCTGATGAAAAGTACATTCTCCTCTACGATTATACCTCTAGCTCAGGGATTCTATACATTGAGTGGGTAAGCGTTATTTAAAAAACTGTGCATGGGTTATCGTTCTTTAATATTATGTCCCCCCTACCTCCCAATTTTAAAAAAAAACTGAATCTATGAATACAACATACGTGTTGTATCTGCCGATAGAGTAACACGTATTCTGCTATTGGATCTAGTGGTTGGCGGATGTTTATGTAATCTCACTAAAAAAATCATCAAGAGCGTAGGTAATTTATTAACTCTTACAAGAGTTAAAGAATCAGTTCAAATTGTTGTTAAATGTACCATACGTTTAACATTTATCGATTGGTTAAAGTGTGCTACGAGCTCTCACATAATATTCATTCCAATATTGCATATTATCACTTCCCTAATAGAATCATTTATTTTCAATTGGTGTTTATACATTTTGCTTTTGTTGAGTATACATGTTTACGTTAAAGTCCCATGTATCTATTCAAAGGTACCTTGCATTTATTTAAAGAGCCCAATGTATCCCTTCAAAGTACCCCGTGTATCCGTTCAAAGGGCCACATATATCCGTTCAAAGGGCCACATATATCCGTTCAAATGGCCCCATGTATCCGTTCAAATGGCCCCATGTATCCCTTCAAAGGCCCCATGTACCAGTTCAAAGGGCCCCGTGTATCCGTTCTTAGGCCTCATATATCCATTCAAAGGGCCCCATGTAATTATTCAAAGGGTATCGCGTATCTGTTCAAAGTACCGCATGTTGAGAACCGCTGGTCTAGGTAGAAGGGCGGGTCGCGATGTTGTCAAAAGCGATGAAGACACAAAGCCCTGGTTGTAATAGAAGCCACTCACGTGTGTGACAGGACCCATCAGGTGAGCACTCGGTGCATCAGATTCCAGCACTCAGTGCATCAGATTCCAGCACTCAGTGCATCAGATTCCAGCACTCGGTGCATCAGATTCCAGCACTCGGTGCATCAGATTCCAGCACTCGGTGCATCAGATTCCAGCACTCAGTGCATCAGATTCCAGCACAAGGTGCATCAGATTCCAGAGTCACCTATACCAGGTAGATCTGGTCCTGTCCGCTCTGCATTACCTGCATATCTTGTCAGGTGGAAACGTTGCAGACCTGCTTACACCTCGCCCATGCATTCAGTCTTTAAGAGCTCACCCCGCAGTTAGGTATTTAGGTTGTTGTTGTTTTTTCCTGGCCTTAGATCTCGGCTATGTCTTGAGCCGCTGGTGCTACGGCTATCGGCTATGGTGTTTTGGTTCTTGGTGTCATTGGTTTGTATGCCTTTTTATACAGTTGTAATTTTATGTGTGTTTGTAGTCCCATATCCTAGGATAATTGTCCCACTCTAAAACATATAGTACTACTGTGTTTAAAGCAATGTTCATTAAGATTTTAGTACTGTTCTATTGGCTTTAAGTGCCAGTTTATACCACAATTTAAGGCTTTTTTTTAATGTGATCAAAAGAAAGTGGTCGAGTTGTAAGCTACAAACATAAATGGTTCCTGTTCGAATCCTTGGCTAATCATGTTCTTTTGTTTTACGTCTCATTTTGTTGCAGACATTGAAGAACATAAACTCTTCTTTATCTACACTTGAATCTTTCCATGGGTGCTATTAGATTAAATGATTAAATGTTACACAAAAATTTATTACAAGATTTTTTGAGCGACCTTTCTCATTTATGGCTTAAGAGAATTGATGTTTATTTAATTTTTAACTTATTTTAAAACGTATTATTACTACAAATATTTTTATGTGCGTTTTATTCCATTTCAAATGCATGTTACGTTCTAATGTTCCTTATATTTCCATTTTTAAATTTGTAGAGGCCTGAAAGACAATGGCTAAGAAAGTGTCCAGCAAAAACATGGCGGTGAGAAGACACGAAGACGCTTCCTCGTCAAAAAAACCTCACCGGCACAAACATCCGGCCTCGTTTGCATTCGGACTCTCTTCCAAAACTCCCGCCAAATTAACCGGCGTTGTCGTCTGCATTTCAATCGTCTCCCTGCTGCTCCTCCAAAAGTCGGACTTTATCAAAACTCTAACAGCGAACGAAACCGCGTACGAGGGCGAGGATGATTTATCCAACGTCGACCTTCACCTTGGCGGGTGGCGACCGGCAGACGACGACGTGATGCAGAAGTACGGATCTGCCGTCTGCAGCATCGAGCGGGTCTCCGTGAATGACCTCACGCCGGAAAGATTCGAAGCGGAGTACAGATTTAAGAAGCCCGTCCTGGTGACCTTTCCACGGGGGGCTCGGGACTGGACTGACCCGGTCAAGTGGTCGCGCCAAAGCCTGGTCAAAGCTTACGGCAGCTGGTCCATCCGGCAGGGTCAGCCGTTGGAGATTGTCCGGGCTGGGGGCAACGCTAAACATTCGTCATCTTTCGTGGAGTTTGTGGACAAGCTGATAAACCACAGCAATGGAAGCAGCCAGCAGATGTAAGTATGGGGGCGTCTCGTGTACAAGCAGATGTAAGTATGGGGGCGTCTCGTGTACAAGCAGATGTAAGTATGTGGGCGTCTCGTGTACCAGCAGATGTAAGTATGGGGGGCGTCTCGTGTACCAGCAGATGTAAGTATGGGGGGGGGGCGTCTCGTGTACCAGCAGATGTAAGTATGGGGGGGCGTCTCGTGTACCAGCAGATGTAAGTATGGGGGGCGTCTCGTGTACCAGCAGATGTAAGTATGGGGGGGGGGGCGTCTCGTGTACCAGCAGATGTAAGTATGGGGGGGGGGCGTCTCGTGTACCAGCAGATGTAAGTATGGGGGGGGGGCGTCTCGTGTACCAGCAGATGTAAGTATGGGGGGGCGTCTCGTGTACCAGCAGATGTAAGTATGGGGGGGGGGCGTCTCGTGTACCAGCAGATGTAAGTATGGGGGGGGGCGTCTCGTGTACCAGCAGATGTAAGTATGTGGGCGTCTCGTGTATCTTTCAGGCTCAAGTAGCCATACTGTACCGTCCACATTGTACTGTCCACACTGTACTGTCCACACTGTACCGTCCACATTGTACTGTCCACACTGTACCGTTCACACTGTGCCGTCCACAATGTACCGTCCACACTGTACCGTCCACACTGTACAGTACACACTGTACCGTCCACACTGTACAGTACACACTGTGCCGTCCACATTGTACCGTACACACTGTACTGTCCACACTGTACCGTCCACAATGTACCGTCCACACTGTACCGTTCACACTGTGCCGTCCACAATGTACCGTCCACACTGTACCGTCCACACTGTACAGTACACACTGTACCGTCCACACTGTACAGTACACACTGTGCCGTCCACATTGTACCGTACACACTGTACTGTCCACACTGTACCGTCCACAATGTACCGTCCACACTGTACCGTCCACACTGTACAGTACACTCTGTGCCGTCCACATTGTACCGTACACACTGTACTGTCCACACTGTGCCGTCCACAATGTACCGTCCACACTGTACCGTCCACACTGTACCGTCCACACTGTACAGTACACACTGTACCGTCCACACTGTACAGTACACACTGTGCCGTCCACATTGTACCGTACACACTGTACTGTCCACACTGTACCGTACACACTGTACTGTCCATTCTCTACTGTCTACATTATACTGCCCACACAGTATCATCCCAACGTTATTGAATTAATCTATCTTCCAGTGTGTACGGACCCCACTATACCGTCCACATTGTACCATCCTAACTGTACCGACCTAACCTACTCTACACTCCCAACTGTACACACTTCTTACCCTCAACTCTACAACATTCAGCATTCCACTGGACCACATACTGTGTCATCCACTTTATCACACTGTACCGGACCGTCCACTTTGTACCATCCCAACTGTACAACAGTACCGACCTAGCTTACCCTCCACTCTACTTCTTCCACTCAGTGTCGTCCACTGTACAACACGCTGTACTGTCTCTATTAAACCGTCCACATTGTACCACTGTACCGTCCTAACTGTACCCCCGCTATACCGCCACTACCCGTGAAATCAAACAACCCTAATCAACCAACAGTCCACTACAGCCTATTGTTTGTCCTACACTCCTGATTTCAACATCACACACACACACTGAATGCTGGCTCACAACAAGCAAATTAGGAGATGTCCTCCAACCAATCTTTACCCTTTAGGTAAACAGTTTTAAAATGTCGTTTTAAAGGTCGGGGGTAGTTAATAGTCATGCCATTTACTGACTAGAACGTTTAACAAAAGTAAACGTTTCTAATTAGAATCTAAAACATGGCCTATTTATAAACTAGTAAACGAGTTTAAATTAATTGTAATGCAACTTTTAAAAAGTTGCAATACAGAATAATGTCCCTTTCCTCCAAGTTGACGTAAAACACAACTATCACAGTCGATTAGAGTACACTCTCCTCCCTGCTATCCTCTGAACTGTGTTGTCTCTAGTTTGTTTGTCTTGTTAAACTCAACCCGACTTTTAAAGCACCGTGTAATGTCTGCCTAATTTCTCGCGTACGTTTGTCTAAATTAACATAAGCTCAGATATCCGGTGGTGTGTTTAATTAATTGATACACCACTTGTATATCCGGTGGTGTGTTTAATTGTTTGATTGATACACCATTAATATATCCGGTGATGTGTTTAATTGTTTGATTGATACACCACTTAGATATCCGGTGATGTGTTTAATTGTTTGATTGATACACCACTAATATATCCGGTGATGTGTTTAATTGTTTGATTGATACACCACTTAGATATCCGGTAGTGTGTTTAATTGTTTAATTGATACACCAGTCAACTATGTCGCGACAAAAGATATTTAGCAGAGGTGAACCTTGAACAAATCTGGCTGTTCGTTAACTTTCTTTTTGTTAACTTTCTTTGTTTTTTTAAGTAACAGCACTCAAAATACTAGTAAGTGCAGTTTTTACCTAAATTATATGTGTTTTCATATTGATAGATGCTCATGTATTTGTACGAGGTAAAGATAACCATACGGTATTGATTGTTTTGATTGTACAGTTATATGTAGTGTATGAGGCATTTAGTTACAGTTTTCCTGAGTAAATTGGTAACATGACCATAAGGTATTGATTGCTTTGATTCTACGATTACCTGTAATCTATGAGGCATTTAGTTACAAACAGATTTCCTAAGTATATTGGTAACAGGTTGGATAGGCCTGTATTATTATTAATTTTGTTATTAATTATAATAAAAATAATTTATTTAAAGCACATCTACAAAACTAAAAAGAGATAAGAATAACACCCATGAATAGGCTATATAAATATATGCCTAAATATCTATATGCCTATATATATATATATATATATATATATATATATATATATATATATATATTTATATATATATATATATATATATATATATATATATATAGGCCTACATACACATATATATAGTAAATATATACATATACACATACATATATACATACACATACATATACACACACATATATACATACACATACATTTACATACACATATATATAGGCCTATATATAATATACATAAATGCACTAGTCGACAGACCCCTATAATAAACCAAAGAGGCGGATATAGTGAGCGACTGAGGAGAAAATAAATAGTTTTCCCCTCTTTGATCCCTCTGCCTGCCTCGCCTCACTAGGTCAAACAAACCTAGCGGTAATGTATTTCTACACCACACTTTAGCGCCCAGGTTTTCCTGCAGTTTGTACGTGAGGCTAATTGCTTCACTAATTAAAATAGCATGTTTGCGGAATGATCCGATTTCCGCCTGGCCGACTTGTTTACCAAAGCCACGCGCATGTGTCATGTAATCGCATTAGCCGCCTGGCGTAACTCGGGTCACGAAGACTAGGGGTCATGAAGACTAGCCGGAAATGTATTCGATTTCTTTTTTTTTTCTACTTTTTTATACCTCAACATATTTTTTAAAATATTTTAACTTTGTGTAAAAAAAAACTTAACGAATGAAGTCATTTCATATTTACGCTAAAAACACGAAATTAGATCTGCCCCCTCCCGATTTCCCGTCGGACTTTAGTAAATCTGTAAAATCACTTTAACCCTAATCTAAAGGCTACACTCCTTATCCACATAGATACAGTTAAAAACGAATTGCAGGTGTTAGCTGTGGAATAATTTTTACGCGAGGCCGTTGAAGTGCGAAACACACTTAACGTTCAATCGCAAATGTTTATGATTTATTTTTCTCGCGAAAATATGACTCACATGTTGAGTGCATACCTTCCGTCGGTACCCATAAGCATGGCTTTTAACTGTCATTCACGGAGTTTCTTCCAGGGGGGAGGGGGGTGTGAAGAAAGTCTACCGCGCCTCACCCGCACCCCCCGAAAAAAGTCTGGAAGAAACACTGGTCATTCAGTTAATGCTGTACGTAGACCTATACTTAGGGCAAAGCGTAGGCCCATTCTAAGGCCTGTAACCACTAGTTTCGGCGGCAATGTGTTTACCTTACGTTATCAGTGTAGTATTACCTGCCTATTTTTATGTAATCACATAATTATCCTGTTCGTTTTGTTCTTAAATTAGCAGCGCGCGACGAATCACTTGACTCACATACATTTGTAAAGCACGTGTTTTGTGGTATCACCCACGCTCACACACATGCGCGTGAGTATCACGCGGAGAGCTTATGCAAACAGCGTCCTACTTTTTGTTGACTGGTTTCTACTTTCACTTTGTTGTACAGTCGGACCCACTGTACAACAAAGTACAGTGTAGGCTCCGGTCGTGTGAGCCCATGTTTACAAAACAACCGTTTTCTTCTTTGTTAACGATATTTTCTATGTAACTGTAACTAACCCTGTCTTTACACCCAACAGAGAAAATAATTAACAGTTTTGTGGCCGACATTTCCGCAAAAAAAAAGCACAAAACTTCAAAGAAACACACAAATTCAAATTAAAAGATTGCAATTTTTTGCGAAACAAAAATAATTTAATGTGTAATAGGACCGCCGCACTGAATTTATTTTCTGTATTCTTGTGTCAGCTGTTTGGCTCCTATAGTACAGTAATTACACACAAAAACAAGATGAACTATAAAAGTAGATTAAAGAGAAGCTTTTTTTTTTCGATTGGGATGTGTAGATTATCTGGTGATATATCGGGGGGGGGGGGGGGGGGGTGCTCTATTGGTTGCCATGGACAACATGAGTAATGTACTATACAAAATTCTAGCATGCCTTGTCATCATTTGTATTATTAATTTCATTTTCGACTTGTGAAGACTGGTATAAAGTTTCAATTATTTCAGACGTTCAGAAGCACTTTTTCTTCTTCTTTTTTTTAAATTCTTTTTTTCCCTTGAGACATGTAATTTACAGTGTCAGTTTACCTTGCCATGCTACCTTTAGTATTACAGTTTTTATCATCGACTTGTGATACAGATTTACAATAGTAATACTTCTTTCGGTCATGTACTCTCGTTCATTTAAGATGGTTTACTTAAGAATGTATTGTATCTTCAAACCTGAAAATTCAAATGTTAAATTAAATGGTAATAATAAACTTCTTTAGGGAGAAGGAAAAAATAGAAAGGCTTTTCTTTTGGTAGGGGTGGATTGAGACGGTATACGGTATTGGCTTTTTAAGCCAGAAGCATTTTTTTTTTTTAATTTTGTATTTCTAAAACTTTAATTTGATTATTTTCCATATTAAAGGTACTGATAATATTGTGGCTGACTGTTTGTCAAGAATGTAACCCTTTTTATTGATATCCACAATGTTCATCTGAAATTTTTGTTGGTTTGTTATGACCATTTTCAAGTTTTTACTTGGGTGATTTGCCCTGTCAATTTTTTTTTTATGCCAGAAGCACGTAAACAAAATTATTAGTGGCAATTCAATACCCAACATTGTAATACTGATTTCAACAATTAATAATCTGATCTCTTCAAAATAAGTATTTAATACAGTTTAAGGATTATAGAATGATATGTAGTGAAATAATAATACCAAATAATAGAAACTATAAAAAATAGACAAACGTTTGTGTAATTAATATTTTTAATACTTAAGTTTGTGGAAACACTAACAATGATATCTATTCTCATTTTACCATTACTTAATATCTCTGCTTTTAACAACTTTTAAAAACATTTTTAAGTATTGCCTCCCTTGTTTGTTTGAACAATGTAAATTGGAAGTAACTAACAGAATTTAATTATTCAATGTGTATTTTTTTCATCATACCATTTTTAAATGACGTTTTATATATATATATATATATATATATATATATATATATATATATATATATATATATATATATATATATATATATATATATATATATATATATATATATATATATATATATATATATATATATATATATATATATATATATATATATATTGTTACGATCCCAAGGGATCTTTACCTGGGTTTGGCCCCATCGAGGAGGGCCAGGTAATTAAAATGAAATGCTTAGGCATGTTAATGCACTGGCCAGTTTAGGCCGTGAGAGTCTGTGGGTTTTGATGGCCACCACGGATTAGATTACACGCTGTGGGCGTGGCAGAATTGGAGTCTTCGGGACTCGGGTAGTAACGTGGCCAACAGCCCATTAATTACCTGGTGACACCACGGGCTGACCGTTGATGCTTGACCTAGGCTAGTGACAGCCCGCGATTTACGGCTGGGAAAACCTTCCAGATCGAAGGGGGCCGAGTGGACCGTCATGTACGGATCTGACCTAGGGACAGGCTAATTAAAATTGTTCCCACGGTTAAGAACGGGGGACGAGTACTTTGGGAGGGTAGACCGGAGACTAGGGGAAGACTCTCGGGGACAGACACTCGGACACACACTCGGAGACGGACGGACTCGTCTCAGATAGCTAGGTCTAGAGGAGACAGAAATGGGTCGTCTCTGTGGGCTAGTGGAAAGCCACGACATGTATTAGACCTAGGCTAGGCTTGACAGTTAGGGACAAGTAGGGCAGTCGAATTAAGGACTTTAGTTGTTGTAGATAGTTGTGTATTTTTCCTATTGTGTTCAATGTGGTGGCGGGTTTAACGTTAGGTGTTGTATTTTGTGGCAATAAATAGAGATTACTAAAGTTGGTTTTTTATTTATTTTTATTTTCTTCTTCTTGTTTACGATTCCCTGACTAGTTCGAAAGGATTAGAGAAGGGGGTCGTAACAATATATATATATATATATATATATATATATATATATATATATATATATATATATATATATATATATATATATATATATATATATATTTATATATATTTATATATATATATATATATATATATATATATATATATATATATATATTCCCTTAATGAGCCTAAGGGAGTGATGGGGCATCACTGATTATTCTTTTGATAATTTTTTTTTCCTGCTGCTATATGTAATTATGCAATCAGCAGACCAATCCATTCCTTTATTCCCCATCCAATTTCACCTTTGCCATCATCGATTTCTCCCGACTGGCAACCTGCCCGGTTTTATTGTTTTTGATTGGCCGTTACCCATATCGTCTGAAGTTCTTTGCCTGTACGATACATAGCATGTTCTCAAAGGGCCCAATCACAAGCTCCATGTCACGCTGTCACGCTAACTAATAGGCTTATAAAGCAGGTCACCAACTTCTCGCTATCTTATTGGCCAGCCTTTTTTTTAAAAAAACCAAATGAGAATATTTTTTTATTAAATTGGTAAAAAACAATAAACAGAAAAGTGACTTCGTCTATTATTAAGTTATTTAATGCGTAAAAAATGATGAAAGACTACAAGATGTAGGCTAGCTATAGAAAAATACAGCCTATGTTAGATTGTGATTTTTCAAAGAAGCGTACAGTTTGTTATTATTTATTCGAATCAGTAGCAAGTTGTCATAAACGTAGTTACAATAAAAAATACAATAATATTAATACGTTATAAAATATAAAAACAATACTATCAATAGCATAGGTCTACCGATACTTAATTCGATTGCTTTTGTAATTAATGGGAATCAGGTTCATAAAATTTTGTTTTAGTTGAAAATGTATCGCTCCCTGGCTAACGAGATTTCGATTTTCAAGTGAGAGAGACCGATAAAAAGCCCCCCCCCCCCCTATCTCCCCCATTTATCATCAGACTGTTTAACAAACAACTTTTAGTTAGATTTATTATACCAATGGATACACCTAGTATTTCTTCTAGAGATTTTTCCCGCAGTGGGAACGACTTAAATCTCCATGGAAGGGGAGGGCGGACACGGGTTAAAGTATAAATTTTCAATATAAATCATATATGTAGCATGTTACGTTGGAGGGGGGGGGGTAGATGTGCTGAAAATAACTCTGGACCCCTCAGTAAAAAAAAAAATGTGTACATTAGTGTAACTACACATGTCTCATTTCTCTAACAGCGTCATGCTCACTCTTTACAAAGTACCTGGCTTTGCTATCTCAAGTAGGTTCATACATTTAATAAAATACTTAAAAAAAACTTTTTAAAAAACCACGTTTTTCTTGTGGACTAAAAAGTAGAAAATAACTATTTACATACATTTGATGACAAAAAACGTGGGTACGTTCACCATCAAATTTCCCGACCCATCTGCCCGACCCACGTTTTTTGTCATCAAATGTATGTAAATAGTTATTTTCTACTTTTTAGTCCACAAGAAAAACGTGGTTTTTTAAAAAGTTTTTTTTAAGTATTTTATTTTCTCCTTTTTAGTCCGTTGCTACACATGAAAAACGTGGTTTTTAAAAAGTTTTTTATATAGTTTATTTTCTACTTTATCTAATCACTTGATTAAGTATGACTTGACTAAGTGTTTTTAAATACACGGACTAAAAAAATCTTGAGCGACCGATACGCTTTAAACAGAGAAAGGGTGTAATTTACGTTGCTGGAGTGGAGATCTACTCACGAATCACGTGATCAAATCTCCCATAAACAAACAAATAAACGCGAAGCTGAGTTAAGGAAAAACGTGTTTATGTGTATTTTAGCATGCCCAGCGTACCAACCGTGTCACCGTTAACAATGTGTTACTGTGTCCGTTCTCCTTTTTAGTCCGTTGCTACACATAAAAAACGTGGTTTTTTAAAAAGTTTTTTTTAAGTATTTTATTTTCTCCTTTTTAGTCCGTTGCTACACATGAAAAACGTGGTTTTTAAAAAAGTGTTTATAAATACACGGACTAAAAATCTTGAGCGACCAGGATTCGAACCTGGGTTGTCGCGGCCACAACGCGAAGTACTAACCACTATACGATCACGGCCAGCGCGCTCACATCGATTGGGGCCGAAGTAACTGCGTCAATAGGCCTCCAGTCTTGTCGGTATCTTTAGAAATCATGTCCTCAATTTTATGGTCCTTGGGGCGTAATTAAATTAAGCTAATTACGGTCACTAATTGCTAGTTTTTATGATTGCATCTGAAATTGTTAGGCGAAAGTAGCATGCATGCCAAATTTCAGGTCTCTAGAGCAATCAGAAGTGGGCTAATTTTCGATGTCAATTTTAACAACAAACATCCAAACAACCAAACAAACAAACAAACGCGAAGCTGAGTTAAGAAAAACGTTTTAAAATAAAAAACGTGGTTTTTTAAAAAGTTTTTTTTAAGTATTTTATTTTCTCCTTTTTAGTCCGTTGCTACACATGAAAAACGTGGTTTTTAAAAAAGTGTTTATAAATACACGGACTAAAAATCTTGAGCGACCAGGATTCGAACCTGGGTTGTCGCGGCCACAACGCGAAGTACTAACCACTATACGATCACGGCCAGCGCGCTCACATCGATTGGGGCCGAAGTAACTGCGTCGATAGGCCTCCAGTCTTGTCGGTATCTTTAGAAATCATGTCCTCAATTTTATGGTCCTTGGGGCGTAATTAAATTAAGCTAATTACGGTCACTAATTGCTAGTTTTTATGATTGCATCTGAAATTGTTAGGCGAAAGTAGCATGCATGCCAAATTTCAGGTCTCTAGAGCAATCAGAAGTGGGCTAATTTTCGATGTCAATTTTAACAACAAACATCCAAACAACCAAACAACCAAACAAACGCGAAGCTGAGTTAAGAAAAACGTTTTAAAAAAAAAAACTTTTATTCCAATGTTAAATTTTTTCCTCAGGCATTATGGATTTGACCGTCAATTTTACTGGGATACAGAACTACCAAAGACTCTTCGGCTACCGGAATATTTTAAAGTTAATGTAAGTCTTTGTATAATGCTATTGTCAAAATACTTTAATGTTAGTAAGTCAGACTGTGTTGAGGATTATTACATTTCTAATACCATTTGCTCAACCTCCACCCACTTTTTATATTTTGTAAGCTACACGTCAACACACATACTTCCTCTCACACACTTGTCCCCCTATCTACTTTAAACACGCACACATATATCTAAGTGTCCTACCAGTCTCCAGCACATACTTCTAAACCTCACAAACACAGGCCCTATTTTCTAAGTTCACATATTTTTAAGTCTCCGGCACATATTTCTAAGTCTTCAACACAAATATTTCTGTCTTCAACATTTATTTCTAAGTCTGCTATACACATTTACAACTCTCCGTTCACTTTTACCAGCACAAAGTCCAAACTCACTCTACTCCATACTCTTCCTAAACACGTGCACTCTCTTACCCATTTTAATTCATTTTGTCGTCCCCCCCCCCCCCCCCCACAGACTCTAATCCCCCACACGTTCTATCTCTCTATTCTTAACCACACTCACATTTACTCTACAATTTCTCCTGTCTGTTTCAATTACCCACCGTCTTTGGGTCAGTGGACTACACCAAATTTACACACATGAAAAAAAAACCACCAGAACAAACGTTCTTAAACAAAAAAATGCAATAACCTAATAATTTGCACGCAATCACCTAATAATTTTCTGTAGCTTTGTTTTATTTTTCCGACAGCTGTGTTTAAAAAAGTAGACCTAAACACGTAAACTGATACGAAATAAACTTTGAAAGAAAGGGAAAAAATGAAATTATCTCCCCTTCACGTTTTGACCAGATGTAAACAATCGGTTACCCGGGTCAAAGTTCACAAGTCTTTGATCCAACTTGTTTCATCTTCATAATTTTGCCTTGTGAATAATTTACAGCAGTCTCGTTTCAAAAGTAAAGCCACCCGGTACAGTTAATGCGTTCAAGACTAGGGTGTATATCCCTCCGCTTTTTCTTTTAACTTTGCGCATAAATAAATTGTTCTGTAACGGCCGGTTTCTTAAATAAAGTAAAAGAGTATCGTTCTCTAATATTTACAAATGACCGTTAATGCTCTCATGAGCAAATGTGGTGGGTACGTACTGAAAAAGTCCACGTTTTTTTTTTAATCTCTTATGCACGTCCTGCAAATTATCACATCTAAAATCTAAGTCCTGGAAACATGTAGACCTGCCTTTTAAAACAACTGTATACTATAGGCCTACTTTCTGCAAATGTTAATTTGTTTAAAAAAAACTATTTACATATATGGCACCTGTTTTGTAATTCCTTTATGTTTCCTGCAAATATTCACCTTTTGAAGCAACTTTGATTTTATGCACTTTTTTGTTAAATGTTATGAGGGGGGTGGGGGGGGGGGGTGGAGAAAGTATGACTTCCCATTGTAGCAATTTTTAAAAGTTGTGTTAGAAGCTGAATTTTAACCTTTATTTCGCGTTTTAGGAAGCTGTTTTTGTAATTTGTATTAGAAATTGATTAATAAAAATATATTTTATATTGGCCGAAATCAGTAACTATTTTGGAAAGAAATCGATGTTTAAAAATAATGAAACTGCACTTTGAGGCAGGGGTGTAACGTCATGTTAGGAAGGAGGGGTCTGGCTTTTTGTGATGGTGGGGAGGGGAGGTAAAAATCGTTTTAAAAGCATGACGTCATGTATGATGACCCCTAAAGTACGTGTCTTAGGTTTGACGTTCACCGTTTAAAACAACAGTGTACTTCCTGCTAATGTTCGCATTTAACCCTCCTCTGACCACTAGAACACAGACGACGACAGCATCTTTTTCCTTGGCGGCTCCCTCTCGGGTGTTGTCTTCCACAAACACTCCGATACATGGAACGGTGTAGTCTACGGCAAGAAGAGGTGGTTTCTCTATCCCGTCTCTAAGACACCCCCTGGGGGTAAGTTCTGTTAATGTAGGTGTGGTCTATGGCTAGGTGGTTTCTCTACCCCGTCTCTGAGACACCCCCTGAAGGTAAGTTCTGTTGCAGGTGTGGTCTATGGCAAGAAGAGGTGGTTTCTCTACCCCGTCTCTGAGACACCCCCTGAAGGTAAGTTCTGTTGCAGGTGTGGTCTATGGCAAGAAGAGGTGGTTTCTCTACCTCGTCTCTAAGACACCCCCTGGAGGTAAGTTCTGTTTTAGGTGTTTTCTATGGCTAGGTGGTTTCTCTACCCCGTCTCTAAGTTACCCCCTGGAGGTAAATTCTGTTGTAGGTGTTTTCTATGGCTAGGTGGTTTCTTTACCACGTCTCTAAGACACCCCCTGAAGGTAAGTTCTGTTTTAGGTGTTTTCTATGGCTAGGTGGTTTCTCTACCCCGTCTCTAAGTTACCCCCTGGAGGTAAATTCTGTTGTAGGTGTTTTCTATGGCTAGGTGGTTTCTTTACCACGTCTCTAAGACACCCCCTGAAGGTAAGTTCTGTTGCAGGTGTGGTCTATGGCAAGAAGAGGTGGTTTCTCTACCCCGTCTCTGAGACACCCCCTGAAGGTAAGTTCTGTTGCAGGTGTGGTCTATGGCAAGAAGAGGTGGTTTCTCTACCCCGTCTCTAAGACACCCCCTGGAGGTAAGTTCTGTTGTAGTAGGTGTGGTCTATGGCTAGGTGGTTTCTCTACCCCGTCTCTGAGACACCCCCTGAAGGTAAGTTCTGTTGCAGGTGTGGTCTATGGCAAGAAGAGGTGGTTTCTCTACCCCGTCTCTGAGACACCCCCTGAAGGTAAGTTCTGTTGCAGGTGTGGTCTATGGCAAGAAGAGGTGGTTTCTCTACCCCGTCTCTGAGACACCCCCTGAAGGTAAGTTCTGTTGCAGGTGTGGTCTATGGCAAGAAGAGGTGGTTTCTCTACCCCGTCTCTGAGACACCCCCTGAAGGTAAGTTCTGTTGCAGGTGTGGTCTATGGCAAGAAGAGGTGGTTTCTCTACCCCGTCTCTAAGACACTCCCTGGAGGTAAGTTCTGTTGTAGATGTGGTCTATGGCAAGAAGAGGTGGTTTCTCTACCCCGTCTCTAAGACACCCCTTGGAGGTAAGACAACCCTTCAGGTAAACTAAATTGTAGTGTTGTATGTATATTTAAAATATACGTTGTAGTTTGCTTCCTTTTGTCAGAACATCAGAAAGCGTTTAGACTATTTTGTTTATAGTTTATTTTTTTTTAAACAACTGGAAAGCATTTGTAGAGAATTTAAGAAAATCCTATCATTTTATTTTGAGTTGAGTTTTAATTTATTTATTTTTAAATTACAAGAAATGTAAGGCAAACATGTGCAATAGATTTTGGAAATATAAAAACTGCCCATATTTTTAAAAAATATTTTAAGATGCTGAAAATATAGTATTGAGAAAATGTTGCAATGTAGCTAATTTTTCTTCCTGTAACTATTGTAAGGTGTTCATCATGGCTTCAACTTGCTTGACTGGGTCAACCATGTTTACCCCAACTTAGAAGAGGGAGATAAACCTATTGAGTGCATACAAGAAGGGGGAGAAATCTTGTATTTGGTAATTACAACAAGCAAAATCTTTTGAATAACAATTTTTCATTTCTTATCCAAGCTTTTCTTTTTAGTTATTTAAATAGTAGTTCATTATTATATATTTAAAGAAAATCATTTATTTTTTTATTTTTTCTTGTGCATTATTTCATAAAAGCTTGTCATTCAAATGTTTTTTATGCTTTTTTTTTCTAATAATATATGTGAATGACAAGGCCTCCCGATGCTTACAATTACAAGATAACTTAAAATATGTTTTTATGTTTCTATTTACCCTCTAGCCAGAAGGAACCTACCATGCTACCTTGAATTTAGGGGATACAATAGCCCTGGCCATACAAAAACATCAGGCGTCAATAGAACCTGAAAGGTTATCATATGAAGGTAAAATATTAGACTCAAGTATTATCAAATAAAAGTAAAATATTTGGCTTTGGTAGAAACTCAAATATTATCATATGAAGGTAAAATATTAGAAGCTCAAGTATTATCATAAGAAGTTAAAATATATGGCTTTTGTAGGAACTCAAATATTATCAAGTGAAGGCAAAATATTAGGCTTTGGTAGAAACTCAAATATTATCATATGATGTAGGTAAAATATTAGGCTTGTTTAGGCCCTGAAAAATGGTCACATAATTTAATTTTTTTTACTCCTCAAACCCTCAGCATAGCATAATAGTAGAGCAATGTGCTTTCAAAATAGAAAGCTTGTATAGAATAGCCCAGCATTCAGTTCACTATATTATCTTAAAACAATTTTAAAAAGTGAAACAGATTTTTTTAATGATTAAGTTACAATTTTAACTCAGTTAAAATAAATGTATATAAGATGAACACTGAAATAATTATAAAGACACTATTGTTTTCCTAAACAACCAACATGAGTTGACCATAAACTGCGACTGCCCTGTGTTTTCAGCTACTCGTCTCATCAATGTCTTACAAGATGGAGAGCATGATCAAGAATCCAGGGACTCCATCAATAAAAGACTTAGGGATGTCTACATGAAATGGCAGGAGTTGTTACCAGGTACCATGAATCAGCTAGTTAAATATTCAGTGAACATATCACGACAATCTTATTTGATTAGGATTTTGTAATTTTTTTTTAGTTTAGTTTGTAAGGATATTTATTTTTATTATTATACAAATGAAGAATAACATAAAACAAAAATGCAAATAGAAGCACGGAATCTTAAACTATATAAGACAAGAGGCCAGTAAGTATAATACTATTAGTATTTGATACTCTGATATAAAGTTTCCTTTTTGAACCTAATGGTCTATGCCTATGGGACAAGTGAAATAGAGTCCATCTGTTTCTGTGACCTTGACATATGAAGGAATAGTGTAGTCAGCACTATGCCCAGCCACTTTTACTTTCTCAAATGTGAGTTAGGTAGCCATCAGAGCTGAGTTGACTCAAGGACACTCCACTGACTTGAACCCAGAGTCAAACTTGAGATTTTCAGAATAGCAGTGTAGCACCCTACTGCTAGGCCACACCATCTGATGTAAAAGCTGTATGAATATAATGTTAAACAGACAGAAATTGTAAAATAACACTGGTAATGCAATCTAATTTCATATGTAAAAATGTTGTTTCAGAAAATGCTGAAGTTGCTCACAAACTTGGCACTGTTCTTTATGACCTTGGACATTATGTTGATGCAATTCCTTTACACATGAAAGCTATCAAATTAGATCCATATTTTGTATTCGCCTATATTCATTTTGCAAGGGCATTAGCTAAGGTAATTATTTGTTTCAATGTGTAGGTCTACAATCACTTTTATTCTTACATTTTAAAAATTACACACACAGTTTCTGTTCAATGTAAATAACTTATACTTTAAGCTTTTTTTCGCTGCTTTACTGTTAACGATTGATGTTTCCTGTAGGTAAAAGAATATGAGAAGGCTGATATCACATTTCAAAAAGCCATTGAAATCTCCCCTAACTTATGGGACAATTATAAAGAGTACGGTGAGTTTCTCCTCAACGTAGGGAAGCATGAGGAAGCCCTTCCTATTTACAAAAAGGTGAGATAAATAGTCAGTAATAACTAAAGCAATAAAAACTGTACACCTACATGTAGCATTTTTGTCATGATAAACACTGCTGTTAGTTATGGACTGTGTCAGATATTTAGATGTAATGAACTAGAAACAATTCACACAATGTCTAATATTTCATCTTTTCTATAATTAACTTCACTTCTAATTGTGTTAATCTAACTTTGTTTAATACTACTTGTTTCACACATAAACACAACATACACTAATCCTTTATGTGAATGCTGCTTAATGGTATGCAATAAACTGTAAACTGTCAACCAATTTCAGGGGACAGAACTGATGCCTGATCTCATTCCTTTCTGGCACTACTACAAGTACTGCCAGCAGCAAGTGGGCGACACAGAAGGTGCTGAGGAGTCTGAAAAAGTCATGGTGATGCTGCGCAAGAAAAAAGAGTTAAATAACTAAGCAGACAAAAAAATGTCGCTGCCATTTGTCATGTTGAAACAAACGCTAGGATTTGTTATGCAGTTCAATATTTTCATTTAAATTTTTCTTGCTGAATTTATTGTACAAGCTGGGAAATCTACTAGAGCCAGTGATACAAAATATTTTTAAAATAATGGTTTAAAAAGATATTCGCACTCAAAATTTATATAAAAGTGAGTGTATCTAACACAATTTAAACTATTATTATTATAGATAATTTGATAAATTTTAAAAAATATATTCTTGTAAACTCAAGATCGTATTTTTTTACCTATACAATTAATGCAGTTCTGAAGGATGGACTGCAGTTTTATGTTACAATAGCTAATTTTTTAAATAATTGCGCTAAATTTTTATTTATTGTCAGTGATGTTTAATTATTTTTCAGTCACAAAAATGTCTTGAGATTAATATTATTTTTAAAACTTTGGCAACTTTTTAAAAGTAATTCTAAAGATTTACGAAGTTGCAAATTTAATATACTTTGATCTCATTAATATTCTTTTTTTTTTCTAAAACTGTTCATTATCATTATAAATTATTTTTACATTTTATTTTATAATAAATAAAACCACAAAACATGGCTTAAGGATTTGAAATACACAAAGAAAAGTTATATACATGTGTTTAATATAATTTTAATGCCATTCATAAATACCTGTAGCATTACTGTATCTTGTAAATCCATAAAACCTTTAAATTTGTATTTATTATACAACATTTTTTGATGGATCTCACCAGGGAAGAGAACTCTGTTTTCTCTCCTTGTTATTGCTTGAAGGTTGTCTTCCTTTCATGTATATTTTATTTAATTTTTTAATTCATGTATTACCTAATGTAGCTATCTACAAATATAATTTGTGGACATTATTGAACCAGTCAAATAATTTAAATTTTTTCTTGACATTCCACCCATTTATATCATTGGCAGTTGGTTGTGAATTTGTTCCTTTTTTTTTAAATCTGCTGATTGAAAAGCTTTTTTATTATGAGATGTAATATATAATTTTAAATAGCAAAACACAATTTTGTTTACTTGTATTTTTTTAAAAGATCTTAGCTTCTATATTTTTATGCACTTGCAATAACAACTTTGATGGGGGTTTTTGTTTTAATTTTGTAAACTTGCTTTTGTATGTACTTTACCTGTTGAAATTATTTAACGATTTATTTACTACTAAACCACTATTTTAAAAACTACAATTGTTATTGTTATTTTTTTTATGAAGTAGATAATTACTTCATATACCCTATTAAATATCAGATCTGAAAAGATAATCAACATGAGTTAATTAATTAATACAACTGATGTTCTTGTTGTTAACAAAGGTTGTGATTTTTGTTTTGTCTTAATCAACCTAATAATTTAAAATGTATAAAGCATTCCAAGTTTTATGATTAAATAAAGCTTTTATTTACTTTTTTATTGTGCATTATACTTATGTGATTTTTGAACAAATATTTCTAAAATATTTTTAGAAAATTATTTTTAAATATTTTTTTACATCGTTTTAAAACGTACAATTAACAGCAATCCTTTACATTATTTTGAAAGGCTAAAACAATAACTTTTTTTTTTTAAATTGTAGCAGAATGCCTATATTCTTAATGTTTTGAATTGTAATTGAATGAAGAACAATAGTTAGTGTAGTTTCTGTTGATATTAATGTATAAACATGTATTACAGTTAGTGAATTGTATGTATGTATATATATATATATATATATATATATATATATATATATATATATATATATATATATATATATATATATATATATATATGTTTAAAGCACTCTAGGTAATTACATTTTTGCAAAAAATGATAGTCATATTTATGTTTCTTTTGCATAAGATAACATAATATCTTACAAATTTTCAAGACTTTGTGAAGTAACTTTTTTATTACCAAGTGAAACTGCACTCTAACTACAAATGTCAATTTTCTATGTTTAGAAATGAATAAACCTATATATAAACCTACAAATATTCAAGAATGTTATTTGACTGTATTATGTGTTGTTATATTTTCAACATAGTGATGTTTTCTGCCACATCAATCTAGCTAGCAAACAGTAGCTACCCAATGTAATGTAAAGGGAAACAACTCAATTAATATTTTGGAGTATATCCCCCTATCAAATGGAAATCGCCCAATCAGTGTTATTAATTAGAAAAAAATAATGAGGACAGTGCTAAAAGAGTGATGTAATTTTGAGGTGGTCTTACTAATTGTGACGATGAGGGGGGGGGGGGGGTTCTTCCAGAGTTTTTTTCGCCAGGGGAGGGGAGGAGCCACTTGAAATATTTTTCGGGGGTGGGGGGTGACACTGGTAAAAGCAAAAGCATATATTTTCTATTTTCTTTCTAAATTCTAATTCGTTCGGGGGGGGGGGGGTAGACGGTTTTTCTTTTTTTGCGCCCCCTCCCCCCTGAAGAGATGCCTGGAAGAAACTCTGGAGGAGGATGTTGAAAGTTGGTCAAAGAGCTTGACTTTTCCGGGGTCAGAAGAAACTTCTCGAATTAGCGTTCACACGACAGGCTACAAACAGAAAGATGAGAAGAAAGTAAGTATTATAAGTACGATCAGAACTTCCGAGCAGTGGAGTTGGTATGAATACAAAGGGAGGGGGGGAAGATACCCATTTGATCAAACGGTTACCGAAGCTTAGGGGTCATCCATAAATGACGTCACACTCGTAGGGGGGAGGGGGGGGGTCCGTAATTTTGTGACGATGTGTGATGAGGGGGAGGGGGGGGGGGGGGTTCAGATGTTGCGACGTCACATTTTTGCATTATAAAAAAGCAATGTTAGAAAACGAATTTTAGACGTTATTTCGCGTTTTAGATAACTGTTTTAATAAATTGTAATAGTTTAGACAAGATTTTCGAAAAATATCGATGTTTTAAAAAAATTCAACTGCAATTTTGAGGGGGGTTGTAGGTTGAGGTGTGACGTCATTTTAGGGGGGTCTGACTTTTTGTGACGACGTGTGACGGAGGGGAGGGGGGGAGGTAAAAATCGTCCAAAAAAGCGTGACGTCATTTATGGATGACCCCTTAGTCCACAAGGAAGAAAATCTAAAATTCCAACAACACAAAAACGAGATCTTGTAAAAACTGAAAAAGCGTGTTCAAGACCTTTCATGCTTATTGACTTAAGCAAATAACTATCAGCATATGCTCAGTGGGAAAACCTGCATCCTAAAAGTCTCCTGAAAAAACATCCTACAGGCCTACTTTGATTAAACATGAGCAAATAAATGTTTATCTTCTTCCTTGTTTAACCAACGATGTTAAGGGTGGACTAACACTTCTGGATCACTCAGTAGGGTCAGGTAGATCGGGGTGGAGGGGTGAGAGAGGTGTGAAATCAGGTGTAAAGGGATCCAATATATAATGTATGACAGGAAGAGGGTAGAGACGGTTTTATCAATTTGCCCCGGGACAAACTTTTATTTTTTTGCGGGAACAAGCTTTCAATTTGGAGCCCCCCCCCCATATATTTTTATATTTATAGTTCAAAACTGCAGCTAAAATGAGCTTTTAATTATTTATTTTTCAAACCCATTTTGGCGCCCCCTAGGGTCGGCGCTCGGGGACATATGTACCCCATGACCCCTCCCCCTTTGCTACGCCTCTGCGTTTTTTCTAATGACTATGCTATCAAATAGTCGATACTTGCATATGAATATCGCCATATCTAGTAGTCGATTTTTCTATTTTATGATTACGCTATTGAGTTTTAGAAGCGTGTATTTGATGACTAAGCAATCAAGTAATCGATATTATCAAATGACGATTATGTTGTTGAAATATCGATCTCTTGATGGTGGGGATTGAAATTACAATAGCTGACTACGTCCCATGTGATGGGACTAGCGGTAGAGTGCTTGACTGCTAAGCCGAAAGTCTGGAGTTCGAATCCATTGAGTCCACCCAGCTCTTATGGGTACATGATTCACATTAGGTAAAGTAAAGGCAGTGTTTCTTCCAGACTTTTTTCTCCGGGGGGGCACTTAAAATCTTCGGGGGGGGCGGTAAACTTTCTTCGGGGGGGCGGACTCTGTTAAAAGTATATATTTTCTATATAAATTATATAAATTTCATTTCGTTCGGGGGGGGGGGGGGGCGGTAAAATTTTTTCGGGGGGGCTTGGCCCCCCCGAAGAGATGCCTGGAAGAAACTCTGAGTAAAGGCGGCTGGGCATAATGCTGACCACACCATCTCTTCATAAGCCGATGCCACAGAAACAGAAATACTTCACTTGCCCCATGGACCGTCAGGTTTGAAAAGGGAACGTTCCTTTTACTTTAAAACCAAAATGGCTGACTATGGCAGGCGTGTGAGACCTCGTGTGGCGAGCGAGATGTGGCGAGATGTCGCGCAGGGAGGACAACACCTTGTCGTGACGTCACAGGTGGACGACACCTTGTGCACGAACCCGGAAGTCTCCATGACGTTTCCTCTTAGACGATTATTAGCGCCGTCGCGATGTTGGCGAATGGCGTCGTCATTTATCTTACACGCTCCGCGAAAATATGTGGGCGATTCGTTTATAGGGGGAACAGTTTGCTGTTGTTAATTAAATCTCTTACAAACTTTAGCGACCATAGCTTTTATTAAAGATTAAGTTTGTTTTATTTTCTTAATTTCATTGCATTTTAAAGCTTGTTATTATAGAGGTTTTTTTTTATTGTTTTCCCTACTTTTCAGTAATTTGTTCTAAATGAAATTGACACCTTGTGTGCTTTGACTAAAAAAATATTTGTTTTAAACCCCAATGAGTAATTTGCAATCCCTAAAAGACAAT